AATCATAGTTGAATTCACCTCCTCCATCATTTGGGGGCAAATCTTCAGCTACCTGGAGTTGTTGATGTATCACTCTTAGCCAGAGAGTCATTTGTGATATGGTTGTCGTTGCCTGTGTGCCAGTGAACTTGGTCACGGCTGTACTTACTTTCAGTGCTACAGGGGACTTATGTGTACTGTTGGTCACCAAAGGAACCTGTGATCATAGAAAAGGCCATACTGCATTAAGTAGATGTACAGAAACTTCTGTGACTACTTGTGCTTAAATCTGTTTTGATCAGACTGCCTGTTGCCTTTGGATAGTAACAGCTTGCTTTCTAGAAATACGTGATTTGATTGGGGGAAAGATGAAACCATGCTATTAGTCCAGTAGGACAATTTCATTATTAAAACTTGAGAATGGGTGACAATAACGTATAAGGCAATCTAACAGATGCCTAGATATACAGAGATATCCCTAGTGTCACAGAGAATATCTTATGAATACCTGTGACACTAACATCTTGGCTAAGGGGGACTGAAATGGAGAAAGATTTTAGAAATGTCTTGACTGATTTATCTTTCTAATATTTTTCTTTTCATAGGTAGTGTGACAAAAATCTGTGTCTAAGAATGGCTAATAGACCATTTCATTAAATATAAACAAATTCAACATGATAACAAAACATTGCTACATTTTAATTTGGTAGCATTTTTCTTCCTTAGTGGTAGATAAAATACAATTATGATCTCTTAATTCTATGGAATGCAATAAATCTCTTTTCTATCACCCATCTGTTACCTTTCTCTTTGGTACCTTTTATTGAGTCAGATTTTTAATTTTTGACTTGGTCACATGTATCCATTTTGGCATTTGTTTTATGTATTTAAGAAATAATTTTCTTCCTCAAGGTCACAAAGATACTCTTCTATATTTTCTTCTGTTAATTTTTTTCTTAAATGTCTTTTATGTTCTTTAACATCTGGAATTCACCTTTGTACATGATTATTCAGCTTTATGCATAGAAAAACCTATGTGTAACCTAGTATTTTGTGGGGCATCTGCTTTCATTTGCCAAGTATTCATATACACACAGATGTCTTGCACTCGAGATTTTCACTGGTCTCTTTGCCTGCCTGTTCTAGTGCCAAACCTGGTATTAAAAAGGTCTTTAAACTTTGCTTCTTTTTGTAAACTACCTTCTTTATTCTAAGTTCATTTAGCCATTCATGAACTTTTATTCTTCAAAGTAATTATTAAAGTTTGTGGAACTTCTTTAGAAATCTTAATGGAATTTTAATTGTGTTTGCATTGTTTATAGTTTATTTTGGCAAGATGAAATATTCCTAAAATGATAAGTCATCACTTCAGATGAATATAATACATTTCATTATTTATTCCAGTCTTTTTATTTTTCTTATTATTCATTTTGTATTTTACTACATATGTATATTATTCTCACCATTAATTCCAGTAGTTTCTTGATTCTGTTGATTTTTTTTTTAATGTAAGATAATTCTGTCACCTGTAGATAATATCATGAATTTTGGTTATGTACACATAATAGCTTGTTTATGTTTCTGACTTCATAGTACTGGGATAGCCTTTAGTAATAATGCTGAATGGTGAAAAGATAGTAGGAATCCTTGTTTTATTGCTGTTCTTAGAGGAAATACCTCCATTATTTCCCACTTTGCACAGATTTTAAGTACATAGAGTCTTACCAATTTGAGAACATTCCCATCTGATCTTAGTTTTCTAAGAGTTTTAATTTGTAAATACATGTTGGATCTTATTAAATGTCATTTCTGCATCTATTAAGATCTTTGCATGAGTTTCTTTATTTCATACACTATGTTGTATTTTTTTAAAATGAATCATGCTTGTTATTTCACTTCCTTTTATATCTTTTATTCTCTCTGTTCTTTTTCTAATTTAGTTGAATACTTAATTTATACACTTTTAACTTTCCTAGTACTGACTCCCAGTCTCTTTTCTGAAACCTTAAGCATACAGAATTTTTTAGGTTTTGAGAGATAACATGCATTCCTTATTACAGGTTATGTCATAAAGTCTGGGGCAGCATCCCATATGAATATTTCTGTACAGTGAGATAAGTAAATGCAGTAATAGTTTCATATCAGCTTAGGACAGGCTTTGGTACCAAATGAATTTGTTGTAAACTTTAAAAATTATAGATAAGGGATAATGTGTTTAAGGCTGAAAAATTTCCTCCGAAGTATTATTCCAGCTAAAGCCTATACCTTCAACAGCTGTTACTCAGATCTAAGTATTTTCTAATTTTCACTTTGTTTTTTATGTTTTGACCAAGCATAATGTTTTCATTGAACTTTCTGTTTAATAATTTATAAATTATTGCCATATGATTAGAAAACCTATTTAGGAGGATCGTGGGTCAAGGCCAGGCTGGGCAAAAGTTCTTGAGACCCTATCTTAACCAATAAAAGCTGGTACACGCTTGTCATCCCAGCGTCACAGGAAGTGTAAATAGGAGAATTGCCAAGCCAGCCCAGGCATAAATGTGAGACACTATCTGAAAAATGACTAATGCCAAAAGACCTTGGGGTGTGGCTCAAGTGATAGAATGCCTGCCTAGCAAGTATAAGGCCCTGAGTTCAAACCTCAGTACCACCAAAAAAAGAAAAAAGGTTGCATAGTACTTACATTGTGAAGCTCCACTTCTAGGAATATGTACTATGAGTGGGAATATGTACTATATTTATTTGTGTCAAATTATTTTACCTCTTAAAAAGAAAGGAGGGAAGGAAAGGGGAGAGGGAAAGGAAGAAAAAGAGGAAAAGGTTGATTTCTGCAGAATATCTAAGAGTAGAGATTATTTTTGGCTGAAGTTGTAACTAGTAAGGATTGAACTCAGCTGCACATAATAAGAAACCCAAACATCTGTGGTTTAAGCAAGGTAAAAGTTTATTTCTCCTCACCAACAAGTGAAGAGAGATGCAGCTCCACAAAAGTTCGGGGACCCAGGTTTCCATCCCTGCTGCTCCACACTTGAGGTATATGACTTCTATTCATAAGTTCTATTCATCCTTAAATAGGCTGGCAGGTAGCTGGGTAGAAAAATCTCTTTCTGCTTTCTCAGCTTGATTAAAGCAGCACTGACCACACCTAGTTGCAGCCACAGCTGGAAAATGTGGTCCTCTGCTTCAGGTGGCAGAGGAATGAGAGGAACGAGAGAATACTGTTGGGTTGATAACTGTTGGTCTCTGCTGCATGCCTTGCACAAACACCTGAGTGTAATTGCAAGCGTGCCCCTGACAGGAGAGTCTGAGAGTCTGGGTGCCATCTAGAAACCAGAGATTTACAGACACTGTTTCTAGTACCATTCTAAATACCAAGCTTTCATTCTTTTCATTTTTTCCCCTGCCTTCTTCTGTCTACTTGATAAAGTTTTCTTTAGTTCTTCTTGTGCTCAGTATAAGTATTTCTGGGAAGAAGTGTGGTGAGAAGGAAGAGGGGGAGAGAGAAGTTGAATGTGTTATGCTTTAAGACAAGGTATGTCTGTGTAGGCTGGTGTGGAAATCAGAGTGCTCTGCCTCAGCTTCCCAAGTACTAGGATTGTAAGTGTATATCACCATGCCTGACTTGGCTTATTCTTGATAATTCATTTTCTATGTGTGTCACAGTTTTTATAGATTAGCCTTGACTCTTAAAGCTTGCAAACTTTAGAACAAGTTAGTCTACCTAGGTGTTTTGTTTTCTTATCTTTTTGTTATTGCTAGCACCTTGTATAATCAGAGTGGTTTAGGACACTTAAGTCCTGAGAAGTGGGAAAGTAAATAACATCATAGATTGAGAATTACAGTGGTTGAGGAGGTAGGTAACCCTGGATTTGAAAGAAGCCATTGAAGACCTAGGAGAGAAGAAGAAGAAAATATTTGGAGAGCACTTTTTATGAGCCATAAGCTTTTGTAATGACACTTAATCCTGAGAGAGAGGTTCTCCACCCCCTACCCCGCCCCCCCCCATGCACACATACTTTATAGATGAAGAAATTAATCACAGAGGTCAGGTTACCATCCCCAAGTACCCAATGTTGTCAGTAGGTGCAGATGGTGTCTGATGACTCTACAATCCATTTTCTTTTCACTGAGTCTTACTTTTATGTGAGTTAATCTGCTTTTGTGAATCTATTTCAAGTTGCATTTCTTTTCCTCCCCTGGCTTTCCAGAATCTTGCATTACTTAATCTTGTGCATTACCAGTTCTGTTAAAAAAAAAAAGTATCTCTGAGAGCAGTTTCTCTGGGTTCTTTCTGGCTGCAGTGCATATTATAGAGTAATCCAGAACACAAATCAACACTGAAATGTAACTGAAATCAAAGTTCCCTGGTGCAGTCCTTTCCTTCATCTGTTCATGCAATGGCTTGCATGTCTGCCCTGCCAGTCTGGTCTATCTTGTTTCCATTAGTCAAAATATGCTGGTTGTGACTAAGCTGTTGTCACAGGCCATGAGTGGCTGTGACCCATAGTTTGAACCCTTGTTTTTGAAGGGAGAGTAATGGAAGGGGTTAAACAGACCAAAGTAAAGTACAGTGGGCATTCATTGAGAAACCCCTTTGAACATCAACTTAAATATTAATGATGAAAGACAGGAATGTAAAATAGGTTCAGTGTGTGTAGGGAACTACTACTGGGAGGGGGGAGAGATTAAGATGAGGTTATATGGTTGATGGACTTCATATACTTACATGAAATAGAACAAAGAAATTTCTCACAAATGCCTTAAGTGGGTTGGGGAAGAGGTTGAGGGGAAGAAACAGTGGGGGCAATGTAACTAATGAGCAACATAAAGTCTAATTGGAAATGTCACTATGTATCCCCCCGTGTAACGAATATATCTTAATAAAATAATTAATTTAAAAAAGAGAAGATTAGAAAACAAATTGCATAGAATAATAACATTATTGTGCTGTGCCTGCCACTAGGGTAATATGATAGCATGAGATATGGATGTGTGCTGAAGTGAATCAGTCTTTGTATCTTTTCCCCTAGCCCTCCAAGCCACAACATTGTGGTGAATGGAAAAGAATGCATAAACTTTGCCTCCTTTAATTTTCTTGGGTTACTGGATAATCCTCGGGTTAAGGTAAGTAACACATAATGCTGAAGTGGACAAATAACATTACTAACTTAAGAAACTGGATATGTAATAAAAGATAAATGTGAACTATCAGAAGGGGCTAAAAGTTTCCCATTACTCCTTGTCTGACAGACTTGTAACCTGGATTTAGAAAAAGGAAAGCAAAAATGTCAATGGGACTTCATGAGAGAACCCAGTAAGCTAGACTGGGGTAATAGTCAAAGAAGCATCTAGGAAATTACTTCATTACTTATTGGGATTGTGGACTGACAAATGTTTTTCAGGAAAGATGGGCACACAAATGCAAAAGGCAAGGCATTGAGTTGATTTAACCTGGTTTTGTGAGTCAAGAAAGTATAACTTTTCCATGTTTTAAGTATGTGTCTGAATCTTTACATCTGTATTTTACTATGTCCTGTTAAAATTGTCCTAGTTATGAGAAAGGATGAAAAGGCGGAGAGGGAGGAAGGGACTGTGTGGGCTAAAGAACAGGAAATGCCAGTTTTGTACTCTTACAGGTAAATTACTAAAATATAATTTTTTGGCTTTAATAAAGGCAGCAGCTTTATCATCTCTAAAAAAGTATGGTGTGGGGACCTGTGGACCTAGAGGATTTTATGGCACATTTGGTAAGTTGTCATATTTTTCAGACTACAGCTTTCAAGTTCAGATTCAGTTTGATTGCAGAACTCCTTGGAAAACATAACCTTAATCACTTGTGGTGTGTGTGATTTCTTATCTTCTTTGATTCTGCAGTTTGAAACCATTGATGGGAAATGCTTTGGTCTGGAGTTTGGTGTAACTTGGGGAGAAGAGAGCTATAAGGTGCCTCAGATGTGCTGTATTAGGCTGCATGTGTCTCAAAGAGACAGTAACATAAGAAGGTTGTTTCTGTTGTGCACAACAGGAAGAAGGGTCAGCTGTTAGGGACTCTCTTCTTTATAGTCAAGCAAGGATGCAGGAACTGGCATCATTGCTTTACTGTCCAAAGGCATGGTCTTTGTCTGCATAGTGGACACCAAGTCATAGTGTGAGGGGGACCATGCCTCGTCACACAGGGCGCTGGAAAAGAGCCCTGTGTGTGCAGCCTTGTATGGCGGGGCGTGGGGGTGGGGCGTGGGAATGAGAACAGATTTGCTGGGAGGAGGTAAACAATGCAGCTTGTTTTCTTTTGGGGATGAAGATGAAGGATCTTAATTTCCTTGTGTTGGGTGACTCTGAGAAAGGCTAATTAAATATTCAGGTGAATGTATCATAGCAAATCCTATGAGCTCCCTAGCTCACAACTTTCAAAGAAGACCCTAGCATTTTATGGTTGTTTTTATTAAGTGTATGTTCTTTGTTTCTGAAAATGTCACTAGGTTTTTTCTCAGTTATTCATGTAATGAATGTAATACCTTGTGACAAAAGTAAATTTGCTAATTGAAACAATCTCTCTTTTTGCTGTTTGACAATAACATATGTAAGGTAGATGTTTGGTACAAAAGAAGACAATGGAGCAGTGTGTAGGGTGGGAACAGGCCCTACTTGCACAGCTTAGAACATCTTGGTGAAAAGTCACACATTTGTTCTTATGAATAAATAAGTGCAATTATTTTTACTTATGGGAAAAATGGACCATGTTTCTAGGTTGTTTTTGTTGTTACTGTTTTTTGCTGTACTGAGGTTTGAACTTAGAGCCTTGCACTTGCTAGGCAGGTACTATACAACTTGAGCCACATCTCCAGCCCATCTAGGGTTTCTTGTGTTTTTTTGTTTTGTTTTTTTTTTAAGAAAAAATATATACATAAAAGTATGAAGTTCTTAAGGGAAAAAGTAGTAAGTTGATTGTCTCTTATTCTAAAGTGAACTGTTTTACAGTCTTTTCTCTGGAAAACAAAAAAGCTCTGATTTTATTGTGAGAGACTGAACAAGTGATTCTTAATAAAAAAATAGTCTTTATTGGAAATTAAAGTTAATTAGAAGGTAAGCGCAACTGAATTTTTCTTTTTAAAAGAAGCCTTTTTCTTTTATTGTACAGATATTCATTTAATTGAATGAAGTTTTACATAGCTACTGCTTGTTCTGTGCCAGGTGCTGTTCTGAGTATTTCATGGACATTAATCGTGTGGTCCTCCTACCACCCTGATAAGGAAGTTAGTTGCCCTTTGTCAGAGGAGGCACTGAGAAGCACAGAGCTTGTCCAGATACATACCAGGTGATTGGAGGAGCCCAGGTCTGAGCCTCTCAATACCTGGCTGCAGTTCGAACTCTAGTATGGCCTCCTGTCTCAGGTTCTAAGGAGAAAGCCAGACAGGCATATAAGCAGGTGTGAAAGAGTACAAGTGCCTTGGGGCAAGCAGACACTTTCTGGATCACCTCTCACCCTAGCCTCTTCTTTGCTACTGTGACTGGTAAAATGTAGTGTTGGAATTTTATTTTTTACAAAGCTATGGCACCAGTTGCAGAAATAGGTCTGTATGCAAAAGATGGGCCCTGGTGGTTTTCCTCCTTGCTGTCTCCTCTGCTGTGGGTTGGGAGTTCCTTCATTGCACAAAGTAGCATCAAGCGAAACAAGTTTTGCACTTACCCATGTTTACCTATCATGGAACCTGTTCAGCAAGGCTGACATCAGCCAAAACCTAGTGTCTTTAGCTAGAAGGAAATGCTAGAGTTTTGAAACTGAGTCTAGGCATGAACCAGCAAGTCATTGATTTATTGTTGAGATTCTGCTTGCCATTTATATAGCATCTGTGTATAAACGGTGATGTGAGCATGCATACTGGTGAAAATGTTAACATGCTGCTTTATTATCAACTGAGTAACTCACTCTGAGGCCTGAAATTAAAGCCACATTCAGTTTCAGTCTCATCAGTAATTAATTTAAAGCTGAGAATCCAGTAGAATGATTTTAAATCCACTTTTTAGTGTGTTTATATCCATAGCATGGTTTCCATTTTGAAATCATGATCTTAAATGAAAGCAATTCACTGTGACCTGGATTGTCTTATCTGTTGGCTAAACTGAGAGGGTTTGTGGTAGATACTCCCAGATGGAGGAAGTGTAATTTTGACGAAGCCTCCTACCTGGGACCTGCCAGATGGGGAAGTGAGAGGTAGAGGGACTAGCACTCAGAAAACACTAAGAAGACTTTATGCCTTAGACTAACTTGTGCTCAGCTACTTGTGAAGTGACCAACTGTCTAAGTCAGCTGTGTTACTCTTTCTGGCCAGATTTTGCCTATAATCTTTCACTTTCTATCCTAGAAGGTGAGCGGTCATGTGCCTTGGGCTTTTTGTAGTGTTATATCTTGAATTAACTTGCAGATCAACTAGGATACAGTCTTCAAAATTTAATGTCACATTTATTTAATGTTGACATAATGAAAAGTATGCAGTCCATAAAATGATTATAGCTAATTGGTAATAGATTAAATGGTATTTCATGTATTTCTTTTTAGGTGGCAGTGGGCCTTTTTGTACATTGTAATTAATAAGTAGGAAGAACCATGCTTTATGATTTGTCACTGCTTGATTAGAATGGAATACATCATTCTTCTTTATAATTCTATCACATTTTTAAGAAGTCTACAATTAAACTGGGCTCTGCTGGCCAGCCAAGAGCACTCTCCCCACTCCTTGCTTGAAAATGGCCAGACCTCTCCCTGTACCCATAGTTTAGAGTTCCCTCAGTAGACACGCCACATCTCTTCCACCTTCTCAAAATGTGCCTCTGTGCTCTCTCCTTCTCTCAGAGCCCCAGGGCTGGGGACTTGGCTTCCTCCTTCCTGTGTTAGAAGTGAACCTGTCATCCAATCTTCCAGGGAGGGGTTCTGCTGCAGTGAAAAGAGCTAAAAGAATATTTAGAAATCCTTTTCTCATCTTGATATGGTCTCATTTTAAAATGACTTTGAAGTTCTAAGGTTCAAACTAGTATGGTAGCCTGTTCTCTCTAAGCATTGCTTGTCGTTCCATTCTAGGGCATGGAAGCCTCCTGGCTCAACCAGAGAAGTGGAAGGTTATAAGGAAATATGATTTATGAGGGAAATAAAAACATGTCAGTTTAATAATTATAATTTATCCTCATTACTACTACATTAGCATTCTTCTTAAGATGCTTCTATAAAAGGACCCTATTTCTTTTTTCTACTTTGAATTTCCCAGGATACTCTATACTCATTTTTTTTTTTCCCTTCCAGTACTGGACTTTGAACTTGACCTTGCCTTTGCTAGACAGGCACTGTACTACTTGAACCATACCCTTTTTACTTTTGTTAGTTTTCAAATAGGATCTCCCTTTTATGCCTGGGTTGACCTGGGCATAAAACCTCGTATTTGCACTTCCTACTTTGTAGCTGGAATGCCAGGTACACACTACCATGCCCAGCTTTTATTGGTTGAGATGGGGTCAAATGTTTTGCCCGAGCTGGCCTGGAACGTTTATCTTCCCAATCTCTACCTCCCTAGTAGTTAGGATTGCAGATGTGAGTCACTGTGCCTGGCCCCAGTACATTCTTAAGAATTTGAGACAACAATCCAGGCCTACAAAGGGATGGCAGGTGCCACAACTCAGTGCCAGTGTTGTTGTTAGAGGAGAGGGCTCTAGAGTTTTCTAATATATGTCACTATCCTGACACAGATTACATGGAGCTCTTTTTCTTAAAATGCAAAAGGCCTTCAATAAGTTAATGTGAGACCATGGTAAAGCCTCAGTGTTTTTGGTCAAGGGAAGTTGAAGGAGGTAAAGTCACTGGGCCTTGGATTCTTACAGTAAAGTGATACAGAAGCAAAAATGCCCCAGTTAGCACATTTACAGACACATGGGTAGCTGGTTTCAGATCATACGCTTCAGAAATGCTCTTGGCCCAGAATAGTTTTAGTAGGTATTTTACAGTTTGTTACTTAAAAACAATTGCATTTTAGCCACAAGGTAGAAACGGTACTAAATTAAATTATGTTCCTTTCTTTGTTTTTTAGTAGAGAAAAAATAATTGCAAGATGGTTTTGCTATCTAAATTTTCTGTTGAAATAGATGTTCATTTGGATCTGGAAGAGCGCTTGGCAAAATTTATGAAGACTGAAGAGGCCATTATTTACTCATATGGATTTTCTACCATAGCCAGTGCAATTCCCGCTTACTCTAAGCGAGGGGACATCATATTTGTGTAAGTAGCCTTTACCTGTACTTCTAGTCAGGATTCCTTTCAGAATAATACTGAGGGTCTTAGAGGATTCCTGCATGACAATTTATCTGCCTAAAGTAATACGGATTTTTCTTTTTGTTTTAAAAGAAATGCTTGGTCACCCCAGCCAAGAGGTTTGGGAACTTCATTTGAAAGATGCTTAATTGTGCTGATGGTCACCTGTGATTGTATCTATTGTTGTCCAGTGAGGCGTGCCATCTATATTCTCATTCTCTGGCCCCATGGTGCCCTCAGGAGTCTTGACAACAACCTCATAATATTGCTCACATGTGCTTCTCATCACCTTCCCATCAAACTCCAGGTCTCCACTAATCTGACTTCAGAAGCTCATTTTAAGGACATAGAAGCTATGAGTTAGGGACATCATTGACTGTCCACAAGCAGGTTTACAGACTTGGGTGCCTGCTCCAGATGCGTTGGTATTACTGTTCACTGTGAAGGGAAGACTCACAAGGAGCCAAACAAGAGCTGGCTAGCCCAGACAACTTGTATCTTTAGTGAGAAGCATCTGCCACTCAAGCTGAAGGCTTTTTCACCTCTAGGGTAGACTATTTACTTTTAGGCCTCAAATTTACTTTTGTTTTCGCTCTTCCTTTTTGATAATTTAGTGAGAATAATCTGTTTTTAAAATGCAAACCTGATTATGTCTTATTCCATTTAATACATGGAAGAGCTTCCATTATTTCTAAAGACCCAAGTCCTTATTATGAACTTGTGAGTTCTAAACTATCTTTTCAGGCCCACTTTGTACCATTTTCCCCTAGGCAATCGAGCTGTAGCTTCACTAGCTTTACACACTAGTTTCCTTTTACATCAGGACTTTTCCAAATGCCAGTCCCCATGCCTAGAGTACTGTTCCTTCTCTCATCCCTGTTTATTTCCTGTTCCTCCTACACATACACCACATCTACAGAGAAATCTCCTGTCTCTGAGAGCACGTCAAGATCCCTGCTGCAGGTGAAGAAAATCTTAACAGCCAGAGAGAATTTGATATCCTCATAAACCTATGCTCACACTGCTTCTCAGACCTCAGATATGCATGCACACTTCTGTCTCTGCTCACTTGCTTTAGACTCCATTTACTCTTCTTTTATAGCACTTAGTTTATAATTTTATATTTCTGTGATTATTTGCTTCTGTTGCTTGCTGAAGTCCATTGCTTAGGATACCATTTGCCATTTAGTTGTGTTCACTAAACTCAGTTCAGTAGATGAGCGAACAGGAGATGGAGCTTGAAAGAGTGGTCCAGAGGGAACCAGTCCGACCTGGGCTGCTGCACTGTCATGTTGCCCACAAGTTGCCACTGGAACTCCTGTTTGTGTAGAGGCAGAGCTTGCCATTGCACCCAGTGTAGTAGAGCAGGCTCCACTTGGGTGCCTTAAGGGCACATGTGACCTACTCCTCACCAGGACCTAGCCACCAGCAGCACTCCAGCTAGGTTGGTCCCTGCAGTAGTGTGTCTTCATGTGACCCCAGAAGTAAATATTTTTGTTAATTTTTACTCATAATTAAAACAAAATAATACAAAAAACGTATTGCCAACTTACAGCCATTGATTTACACAATGTTTCCAGGTTTTTGGTAAAAGCTCAGTGGCAGACAACTGCAGTGCCATTCAGTGTTGCCTTATATAAGCCCTCATCCTTAATTCATTTTTAAGTTTAAGTCTAGAAAAACTTTATTGTTACTAGTGAACTCAACTTCGCTTTTCAGATAGTAAATATTACATTGTCATTTTGGTTTTAACTAGTAGGAAACCTACACTAAATCCACCTCCATGCATTATACTCAGGATCTTAAAACTTCAGTTTATAGTGAATCATTAGACAACTTAATTGTTCTCTTCTACATAATTTTATTTTATTTAAATTAAGTTTATTTAGCTGGGTTTTGCAGTGCTGGGGATTGAGCCCAGGGCCTTTCACATGCTAGGCAAGTACTCTGCAACTGAGCTACATCACTAGCTCTTGGTGTTTTTGAGATAGGGTCTTGCTATATAAGTCAGGCTGGACTTGAACTCACTAGATAGCCCAGGCTGTCTTCAAACTGATAATCCTTCTGCCTCCACCACCCAAATGCTGGGATTACAAATGATATACCCCACCTGGCTAAATTTATTTTTGACCAATTCATAAAAACAAAAATTGTGCATATTAATGGGGAAATGTGATGTTTTAATACATGTATGCATTGTGTAATGTTTAAATCAAGTTAAATATATTTTATCTCCTCCAACATTTCTATATGATACAATTTTTAAATATTTTCTTTTAGCTTTTTGGAAGTACATATTTGTTATCTGTAGTCACCCTTCTGTGCAATAGCATGACAGAACTTCTTAAATTAACTGTAACTTTACACCCATTGTTCAGTCTGTCCCTATCTTCCCAGCCTCTCATCTATCCTACTCTCAACTTACATGATACCAGCACTTTCAGATTCCACATATGAATATTTTTTAATATTTTTGCTGTTGAATATTTAGAGTTCCATATGTTTTTTAGATCTCAACCCTTTGCCAGATGCTCAGTTTGCATAAATTTTCTCCCATTCTATCGGTTGTCTCTACTCTGATGAGGGCTGGACAGTTTGAGGTAATCCCATTTGTCTATTTTTACTTTTGTTTCCTATGCTTTTGAGGTCTTAGCCAAAAGTCTGCCCATTTCAATGTCTCGAAACATTTTTCCTGTGTTTTCTTTTAATAGTTTCAAGTCTTAATCTATTTTGAGTTGATTTTTATCACTGGAGAGAGGTAGGGGTCTAGTATTATTATTTTGCATGTGGATATCCAGTTTTCCTAGTACCATTTGTTGAAGACTATTGTTTCTTTAATGTGTGCTCTTAGCAACTTTTGTCAACAATCAGTTGGCTATAGACATCTAGGTTTACTTCTGGGCTTTCAGTTCTGTTCCATTGGTCTGGTTTGTCTGTTATTTATATCAATACTATGTTGTTTTGATTACTATAGCTTTGTGGTATATCTTGAAGTCAGGTAGCATAAATGCTTCCTGCTGTTTTGGATTTTTTTTGTGGGGTGGTGGGTTTGTTTTTGTTTTTTGGTTTTTTTTTTGGTGTTTTTTTTTTCTCTTTGTCTACTCAGAGATTTTTGTGATTCCATGTAAATTTTAGGGTTTTTTTTCCCTAATTCTTTGAAACATTGGTATTTTGATAGGGATTTCATTGAATCTGTAGATGGCTTTGGATAGTATAGGCATTTTAACTATTGATTTTTCCGATCCATAAACACAAGATGTTTTTATATTTTATTGTGTCCTCCTTAAATTTCTTTCATCAGTGCCTAAATTTCCATTTGAGAGTTTCACCTCTTTGGTTAAATTTATTTCTAAGTTATTTTATTTATTCATTCATTCACTTTGTATTTTAGTGTATATGGAATTGCTTTCTTCGATTTATACTTAAGATAATTTGCTATTGTCACATAGCAACACTACAGAATTTTGTATGCTGATTTTTTGTGTCAAGCAACTTTGTTGAAATTGTTTATTCTTTAATTAAAAAAAATTTGGAGGGGCAACACTATGGGTTGAACTCAGGGCCTTGCACTTGTTAGGCAAGTGCTCTAACACTTCATCTACTCTGCCAAACCTTTTGGTTATTTTTGAGATGAGATCTTGCTTTATGTACAGGCTGGCATAGACTGCAGTCCTCCTATTTGTGTTTCCCCATGTAGCTGGAATAACAAATGTATGCCACTACACCCAGACATTGATTGAATAGGGTCTTGTGAACTTTTTTGCCTGGGCTGGCCTTGAGCCCCAATGCTCCCGATCTCTATGTCCCAGACATCCATTAGTTCTAATGGATTTTTGGTCTTTGGAGTTTTTCTCCAAAGAAACTATTTATCTATATAAGAAACTATATGTCTCCAAACTGTATCTCTCTTAAAGAGTGGCAGTTTTACTTGGTTTTCTCTTTTTTCAGACTTTTTCTCTTGTCTTATGCTTAGCGAGGTCTTCCAATGCTATGTTGAATAAAAATGGTGAGAGTGAGCTAGGTACTGGAGGCTCATACCTGTAATCCCAGCTACGTGGAAAGCTGAGATTGGGTGATCATGGTTTCAGTCCAGCCTGGGCATAAAGTTTGCAAGACCCCTATCTCAGAGGAAAAAAGCTGAGTGTGGTGGCATGTACCTGTCATCCTAGCTATGGGGGGAAGTGTAAAATAGGATTGCAGACCAGACTGGCCTGGGCAAAACGCAAGACCTTATCTCCACATCTACAATAACCAGTGGTATGGCTAAAGGGGTAGAGCACTTGCCTGCCTACCACATTGAAACCCTGAGTTCAAACTCCAGTACCACCAAAAAAAAAAAAATGGTGAAAATCGATATTCTTACTCCAGATCCCATTCAATATAATGTTAACTGTTGGCTTATTTTAAACAGGCTTTGTTATATTGAAGTACGGTCCTTCTACCTTTTTTTTTTATTTTTTCAAGATGCTCTCACTATGTTGCCCAGGCTGGCTTTGAACTTGCAACACACCTGAGTACAAGGATTACAGGCCACCATTCCTGGCTGAGTCATGTTCATTCTATGCCCAGTTTATTCAGTTTTCATCATGAAGGGAGATTGAATTTTATCACTGCCTTTTCTGCATTTTCTGCTATGATCATAAGGTTTTGGTTTTTCATTTTGTTGATGCAGTGTATCATATTGATTTGCATATATTGAACTATCCTTATATCCCTGGAATGAATCCCACCTGATCTTGGTGGATAATCTTTTTAATATACTGTTGTATTTGGCTTGATAGTATTTTCTTGAAGGTTTTTTGCACCTATTTTGACCAAGAACATTGACCAGTAGTTTTCTTTTTTGTGTGTGTCCTTAGCTGGTTTCTGGTATCAGGGTAATGCTGGCCTCAGAGAATGTATTTGGAAAAATTCATTCCTCTTCAGTGTTTTGCAATAAAAAGAATTAATGTTAATTCCTCCTTAAA